AGCCCTGATCCCCTTCCCACACTCTGAACCCCTTGGTCCCAGCCCAGAGCATCCTCCTGCATCCCAAACCCCTCATCCTCAGCCCCACCCCGGAGCCTGCACTCCCAGCTGGAGCCCTCAGCCCCTCCCGCACCCAAACCCCCTGAGCCAGCCCCGTGAAAATGAGCAAGTGAGTGAGGGTGGGGAGAGCAAGCAAGAGAGGGAGGGGGGATGGAGTGCGTGGGGGCAGGGCCTTGGAGAAGGGTGCGGCTCAAAGAAGGGGCAGAGCAGGGGTGGAGCAAGGGTGTTCGGTTTTGTGCAAGTATAAAGTTGACAATCCTACAGTCTTCCCTCTTATTGCGTTTCCCCCTTCTCACCCACGCTGTGTACAATGCCAGGCTTCTCCTGTCCACCTTCTCACCCATGTCTTTGTGCTTCCAGGCTGCTCTCTACTCATGGAACTCAGATCCAACCCTTCAAATCCCCTTCAACACCTATAAGAAATCTATCAACCAATGACAGCTAGGCTTAGGGGAGGGGAAAATAATAAAATGTCTATTTGTACGTTAACATAGATTAGACAGGTTATTGCCCGTTCACTCACTCTTCCTACGTCCCATATCTTTTTATATTGTAAACTCTTAGAAGGAAGGACCACGCCTGTCTCTGTATACTATGAAGAGAAACATCAATATTGGAACCTGGGCACTAGTAAAAGATCAGTAATATATCAGTAATAATAATGCTATACATAACTGAACAATAGCAATAACAGTTCTCCATTCCCACCCACGGCATTCGTTTTTGGGTCTTTTAAGGTACTTTGGGGAAGACTTTCAAAGGTACGTATGGGAGTTTGGCGCTCAGCTCCCACTGTAAGTTGATGGGAGCTAAGCATCTAATTCGCATTTGTGGTCTTCTCTATTGCTACTGCTTCCACATCCAACATTTCGGTCACTGAAAAGTTACTGTGCAATAGGAAATTGTAGGGGTTGCCACACTGTTACCATGTCCTTAGGACCACAGATTCCTAGAGTTGAAGGCAACATGACATCATCTAATCTGAACCCCTGTGTATCAGAAGTCATTAAATTTCACCCAGTTACCCCTGTATTGCGCCCAATAACTTATGTTTGGCTAAAACATAACTTCCAGAAAGGGCTCTACGTCTTGATTTGAAGATGTCAAGAAATGGACAATTCACCATTTCTCCTGGTAGTTTGTTCCAATGGCTAATCACCCTCACATTTAAAAAAAACAAACCTGTCTTATTTCTAATTTAGATTTCTCTGGCTTCAGCTTCCAGCCATTAGCTCTATCTCCATTAGACCAGTTTTGCCTGAGAGATTTTTCCAGGATACACCTTTTTAGTGAGATGGTATCCGGATCATTCTGTTGTCAGCAGGGATTTAAAACCATATTTAAAGAAAATAGATTATAGGCCTGGATATTGTGTTCTTGGAGTTGGGATAAAATGTAGGTGTTTTCCCATGCCTACATTTGTAACAGCAGGCAAAATATGCCTGGTGGTAACACCCCCTTAGCACCCAAGTCCATAGCAGCACATTATAAAAGAGCAATATACTGTAGCAGGTAAATACAGTCCTGTAGCCGCTTAGACGTTGTCCGACAAATTAAATTATATGAGAAAAATCACCTGATTCCCCGTTAATTTAAAAAGTTAACAATAAATATAATAACCTGAATTGTTTTCTCGTAAAGTGACATTTTAAAATCGACAATTAAAACCTGTGCTTGTATAGTGCAATGGGGTTCTGATTCCTTACTGGTGCTCTGAGTATGGATGCAATGTGAAATAATATGTTCCTCGCCTTGGAAAAGTGAAATCCCTCACCACAGTAACATATGAACACACACTCTACTCTCAGTTTATTACATCATTTCCACAATTTCTGGGCCATCTTCCTTATTCTACGAGTCATTCCATTTCACTGGCTCTCTTTGATTACTGAACATGTCCCTGGCTCCACAACATACCTGATTGGCAGTGAAGGGTCACCAGCATCCCACCAGTCTTTGGGAGGGCTAATGTACATGCACCATAACTCCCAGCTGTATCCATGGGCAGAGTTCTCATAACGCTGCACCTCAAAGTTGTCCTGCTTGATATTGTCGATTGACGGAAGAATAACCCTTTTCCGGTTTTCTTGGATTCGCGAAAGAACTGGCTCAGCCCTAAAAGGCCAAAAAAAGGAAACAGAAAAGGGGCATTAACTGCTGTTATAACACAGATGAACACAGTAGCACTTTAACAACCCACGTACCTGATGGCAACACTTAGGTTATGTCTATGCTGCAATCGGAAGTGTGACTGCAGGACAGGTTGGCATACCTGTGCTAACTTTAATCTACCCAGCTGGCTAAAAATAGCAGTAAAGGCATGGTGGCATGGGTTTCAGTGTGCGTTATACAAGTCTGCCAGGGACCCTCCATCTGTACTGGTATTGCCAGCCCGCGCTCAAGCCCACGCAATCACACCTCCATCTGCAGTGTAGACATACCCATAGTGAATGCCTTACTTCTGCTAGCTTGGACAGCACCCCTGTAGGACAGGACAAAGAAAAAGGACCCATTTCTGCTCTCACTTAAGATGTATAATTCCAGTGACTTGTTGGAGTTATAAAGATGCAAGGGACAGCAGAATCCAGCCAACAGAGTTTAAGTGACTTGGACTAGGCCACACAGCTATTCAGGGCTTGTCTACACTACAAAATTAAGTTGACTTTATCTAATTTGACCTTGAGCCTTTGAATTAATTAAGTCAATTGTGCATGGCCACACCATGCTTATTGTCTTGGTGGAGTGCGTCCTCACTAGCAGTGCCTGCATTGATGCACAAAGCGGTGCATTGTAGGTAGCTATCCCAAAGTGCAACTTGCCGCCGTATGTTTTGGGAAGTTTGTGCAATGCCTCATGGGATCAAAATATTGTCGCAGAGAGAATGGGAACATTGCATCGGCATCCCATGGTGCACTGTGCTCAATGGCAAACAACTCAGTGGTTTTCACACCTTAAAACTGCCGCGCATACGCCATAACCCCAAAAGCCTGGAGCCTGCTCAGTTGTGCACTCTTGCTGTGAACATCTCAAACACCTCGCGCCTTCTCCTGCAGTATTTCCAGAGCTGAAATAGGGTCCACTGTGTGGAACATAGCGATGTCCTGCAAGCAGCCCTGCTCCAAGCCATTGAAAAAACAACTCACAGTTGCTGCTGGCAGTCACAGAGCAGCTGCACTCTGTTGAACGCCATTTCTGGTTCTGTGAAACAAGCACTGACTGGTGGGACCGCATCATTTTACAGGTATGGGATGACGAGCAGTGGCTGTAGAACTTTCAAATGCGGAAGCCACCTTCCAGGAACTTTGTGCAGAGTGTTTCCCTGCTCTGCAGTTCAGCAACACAAAAATGAGAGCTGCTCTGACAGTGGAGAAGCGAGTGGCGATCGCTATTTGGAAGCTTGCAATGCCAGACAGTTACTAGTCAGTGGGGAATCAATTTGGAGTAGGTAAAATCAACCGTGGGAGCTGCTGCGCTCCAAGTGTGCAGGGCCATTAATCGGCTTCTGCTACGAAGCGTAGTGAGTCTGGGAAATGTGCAGGACATAGTGGATGGTTTTGCTGTGATGGGGTTCCCTAATGGCGGTAGGGCGATAGATGGCACGCATATCCCCATCTTGGCACCAGACCACCTTGCCAAAGCGTACATAAACCGACAGGGATATTTTTCAATGATGTTGAAAGCACTGGTGGATCACAGGGGGCATTTCACCGACATCGATGTAGGATGGTCGGGGAAGGTTCATGACGCGTGCATCTTTAGGAAATTGGATCTGTTCAAAAAGCTGCAATCCAGGACTTTCTTTCCAGACCACAAAATGAATATTGACGACGTTGAGATGCCTATAGTTATCCTGGGGGACCAAACCTACCCTTTGCTCCCATGGCTCATGAAGGCATACACCGGCCATCTGGACAGAAGTAAGGAATGGTTCAGCTATAGGCTCAGCAAGCGCAGAATGGTGGTTGAATGTGCCTTTGGTTGTTTGACAGGGCGCTGGAGAAGTTTACTAACAAGGTTGGACCTTAGTAAGGACAACATCCCCATGGTTATAGCTGCCTGCTATGTGCTCCACAATATCTGTGGGGAAAAAAGGGGGGAAATTTTCCGCAGGGGTGGGCAATTGAGACCAATCACATGGAAGCCATTTTTGAGCAGCCAGACACCAGGGCAATAAGAAGAGCACAGCAAGGGGCGCTGCGTATCCACGAGGCTTTGAAAAGCTGTTTCAATAATGAGTCACAGTAACGTGAGCTGCTTGTCTGCATTGTGCTTTCCCAAACCTTCACTTGGCTTGTATCACTGTCCCTATAAAGCCAACCCCCCACCCAAGCCCACTGCTTCTACTCAATAAAGAATATTTGTTTCTCAAATCCATTTACTTTATTTAACAAACATAAGTGAAGAGGGAAAACAGAAAAATAAGGTAACCTTCGGGAAAAGTGGTTGTAAAGTTGGAATGGGAGAAACATTTTCAGCTGTGTAACATAATACCACATTCCAGACCATCAAAGGTCTGTGAATGGACACCTTCTGTTCCTTGTACCCTCCTCCTGAGTTAAGTTAAAGGGATAATGGACTTTTCTCCCATGCCTCAGGGAACGCTTTGGGGAGGGTGATTCTGCGCCAGGCGATGCTGGCTGGCTGTCCACCAGGGTCTGCAGAGGGACTCTACCCTCCTGCTTCTGTTCCTGCAGTTCAACCAGATGCCTCAACATGCCTGCTTGGTCATAATCCGAAGCATCTCATCCTGCGCCGCACACTCTTGCTCATTGGAAGCTTTCCTGCTCTCCCTGTCCATGTCTAACTTCTCGGGCAGTGAAATCCTCCAGCCTCTCAGCTCTGTGTCAGCTGTCTCAGAGGTGTTCATTATCTCAGTGAACATGTCCTCCCGCCTTCTCTTTCTCCTCCTTCTACTCAGCGAAAGTCTGCATTCAGATGTTGATGACACGCTGAAGTCATGTCAAGAGCAGAGGTAGCTAGTCAAACAATGGCCCTTCCCCATAGCACCACAGAAAGCTGTTTACAAATCGCGGGGGGTGGGTTCACTCTCAAATTGCAGAATTTCACATGTGGGGCCCCAGTCCCCTATCAGCCACTTTAAACCTTTAACTACTTGCCAACCCATGCTGAGCACAGTAAAGGCACATTAGCGGCCGCGTGGTTTGGCGATCCAGAATGTGTGTGTGGGGGAGGTTTACATGCCTTTTTTGTTCTTGTAATGGCACTTTTAATGAGAACTTCCCGTTTCCCCTAGGAGGTGACCCGAGGTGATATCAGTCTCCTGAGGGTAACAGAGGCGGAAAGGAAGGAGATGCTGCAAGCGTCTGGGGATTGACCCGGTCCTTATGCTGCTATGCTGTGTACCATAATGATGCCAGCAGAATTCATTCAGGAGTTGCGTGGGAAAGTGTCCTACCAATTAAATTAAATTAAATTAAATTAAACCATGGTGGAAGAAATAAGACTGCCCTGCCCAGAAATCTTCTGCAAAGGATTGCAGAGTCCCTCAATGAAAGTTTCCTAGAGATATCCACGGAGGATTCCTGTGCTATCCCAGTCCACATAAACAGTCTTTTCCAGGGGCTACCCTCTGCATAGCTGGAGCGTCCTCTTATAAGCAGAGAACCACAGCACCTCGCTTTTTCTTCATAGTAAACATGCAATACCACCGAATGTGGGCGCCCACTAAAGTTTAACCGGACTTTGACTGTAACTTTATACTCAACAGAGGTGCCTTCCCCGGCATCCTGGTTGGCCACCGAGATGTCCTGCGACCCACCGGGCTCCAGGGTTAAAAATATTTCCTGTCTCTCAGGGATAATGGATCCACCGCTCACCTGTCTCCCATTCTTCTCCTCCTCCTCTTCCTCATCCACCATATTGTCTTCCTTGTCGTCCCTACACTCACACACTTGTGAGGTGTCCACATTGCTTGTGGGAGTACTGGTAGGGTCACCCTGGAGAATCGCATGCAGCTCGTTGCAGAACAGCCATGTGTGGGGTTCAGCACCAGAACAACTGTTTGCCTCCCTTGCCTTTTGGTACTCTTGGCAAAGTTCTTTTATTTTCACACGGCACTGCTGTGTGTCCCTCATGTAGCCCTTCTCCCCCATTCCACGAGCGATCTTTGCATAGATGTCAGCGTTTCTTCTGCTGGATCGGAGCTCTGCCTGCACAGACTTCTCCCTACACAGCGATGAGATCCATCACCTCCCATGCAGACCTGGCTGGAGCGCACTGGGGGCATGTAGTCTCCATGATCAGCTGTGCTTAAGCTGGCATGCTCCCAATGCTGATCAAACAGGAAATGGGAAATCAAAAATTCCCAGGATTTTAGCAGGGGAGGGGCTGTTTCCTGTGTACCTGGCTGCAGTGCAGCAGAGTTGAGAATGATCTCCAGAGCGGTCACAGATGAGCATTGTGGGACACCACCTGGAGGCCATTTAAGTCGAATTACACAACGCTGCATCTGCACTACCTCGCAGTTGACTCATGAAAATCGAATTAAGTGCTACGCCTCTTGCAGAGGTGGATTACAGAAGTCGACGTTAGAGGCACATACATTAACAGGTGTAGACACATACATTAATAGGTCGACTTAAGGCGGCTTCCTTCAACCTAACTTTTTAGTGGAGACCAGGCCTCAGTGACAGAGCCTACATTTGAATTTGAGAGTCCCTTGCTCGCAATGCTGTGCTCAATCCATTAAACCACTCTCTTATAAACATACTCGGAGAGTAGAAAGTGAACACAAAAACCAGAGGCAAAGGAAAGTTCTTCATTTTCCCAAGATTCAATGGATACTTTTTTAGGTCTGCAATGCAGCTTTGTCAGCCACCAGGGAGGCTTTAGAAGTTTCCGAGCTCCCACTTCATGGGATTTCCTGCCTGGGAGAAGCATGGACACATCAATTATGTGGAACTATTATCAATTAGGCTACAGGGGACAGCTGCTGTATATGGAATTCAAATAGCAACATACCCATATGTGTTAGGGTTTAGGCTCTCTCTTATGCAATTGAATATTCCTATGCAAAATTCATGGACCCAGTGGAGAATACCACAGTACACACAAAGAAGCAATTTCACAAACCAGGAAGAATTTAAGGTATAAAGGCTTTACAAGACCCTCCAGAGCTGAGCTTTCATGCAGAGACAACACAGTCCATTTTGTAGTGGCTTAATGTGGTTACAAAGTGTTATAAACATGAATTCAGCTGTGTTTTAAAGAGCATTTCCCCCATCATTTTAACCAAGAAGGTATGAGACCAGGCAATGTAGTGAAAAAGGGCTAGTTTTTCAATACTGTCTTCTGACATTCCACCTACAAAGTCAGAATGTGTACAGTAAATATTTGTATATGCAGAAAGGCTAATTGCACACTAGTGTTCATTTGGGAGTACAATTACCTACTTTGCACACAATGGTGCATGCACATTTTGCTGGAGAAATTTAGGAAGCCCAACAGGGACCAGATTTCCCAATATGAATACTTAAATTGCCCTTGAGATCCTCGACTTGCTTCCACAAGTGGATATTTGCAGTGAGTGCAGGCAAATTTTCTGGCTGCAATTTGCTTCCTCCTCCCTCCCCCACTTCTGAAAATGTCTCTCTAAATATAAGAAATTAAAGTAAATACAGGCAAGGCTGTGCTGGTACCCAAACAGCATTTCCTTGAAACATGAACACAGAAAACCAGACATGGACCCAAGCCACAAAATTCTGATCTGGAACCCTGCTTCCGCTCCAGCTGAGAGTGTTCAGAGCTGGGGTTTTGGGTCAGCCTCCCCTTTGTGAAAACAAGAACCACTGAACAGACAGGGCTCATTCTGCCAAGGATCTAAGCGATCAGTGAGAGGTGAGGATGCTCAATGTCTGCCAAGCTCAAGCTCATAATGCAGTCAAAGGAGCAATCTGCTACTCTCATTCCTTACTGATAGGAAAAGCTGCTTCAACAGTGAGTTCAGTAAATTATTCCCGTACACATGCATACAATCCAGTTTTGAAAAGCTAGCAGCCTAATCATTGCAGCATTTAGATGGGAATACAGGTACCGTGTTAGAGACAGCCTTCTGAATATGTCCTTATTCATACAAAAAATGCGATAACTCTACACAGAATGTGTTTTCTATTTGCAGGTGATATAACATTTTCCTGGTAGATGATTTTTTCTTTTCCTCTCTTCATATCACACAATGAAATGTGCATTAGCCTCTTCTGTCTCCAATATTCTAAGCATAGAGCACAATTTTTTTAAGAACACATTTTGTTGCAAAATATCATTCATGGAACCTTTTTGTTGTGCCGACTTAGAAACGTAATAGAATTTCCTCTGATACTTTGTGCTCTAGATGCATCAATCCTTCTGAAAGAGTCCCATTGAAATACTTTCTGCTGTCCTTGCACTTTTGAACTTATTTTCAATTTAAGAAGAATCAAACCAATACAAAACATAAACCTTCCCCAGAGAGAGGAAGGTAGAAAGGCCTATAACATTGGAACCATTCTCTTTTTCAATTCCCTGCTGCCTCGTCTTTTTAGCTTACAGAATTCACTCAGGTCAAGGAGGGGGCACTGATCTGAACAGAATAAAATGTGAGTGGGGGTAGGATGAGTGGAGAAAACAGGGACTTTAGCAGTTCTGCAGTGTACTGCCTCACCCAATCCAGGGTACGTTGGGGTAGAAGGAAGGATCTAGCTTTATTAATTTAATGGCCACATTTGCAAGAATGTCCATGCTAAATTATACATTTTCAGCACGCCAGATTTATTCCCTTATGATCTAACCACACCGTGAAATCATTAAACCTGATTTTGTTTTATGATACCTACCAGCCAGCAGTGAATTCCACATGGGCATCAAAGAATCCAGTGATGTGGCCCGTAGCGGCTTTCCAACCTTCAATTCGAGCTCGGATCAGGCCTTCCCTTTTCTGGTTGCGCACCACCTTCACGAGCCCCGGATATCGTTTATTGACGTACTCTTCCAGAGGTGCCTTCAATTCCTCTAGAGGAGAAAACCCAGAGAGCCAACTCAAAAGGAGCAACAGTTTCCATAGGGAATCTAGTGTATTAATCGACTCTTATCACTGGTGGAGCTCACTGGTACAGGATACCTTAGAGAAGCGGCTAGTAGGAAATGCAGTAAGTAGGCCTAGTCAATGTTAATTTGGGAAAAGGGAATTTCAGGGAGCTAGAAGGCTGAGCTGAGTGAATAAAAGGACAAAAAACACAAGTCTTTGACCAGGATGTTGCTATTGTGTTACATCTAAGGCAAAATTTTCAAAAGTGACTAAGGCACTTAAGTACCATTTTCTAAAGAGTCTTAAGCTTCTAAGGGCCTAGCTGCCTCTTGAAAAGGGGACTTAGACACTTTTGAAATTATACCCCTACTTCTGTATCTTTGTTCCTAATTTCTGAGCATTTGTTTAGCCCCCATTAATGTCTTGGACAGTCCCTTCACACAGTTTCTTTTTTAAATACTTGTTTGTAAATTTGGGGCCAGATTCTTTGCCCCCAACCAGTTCCTTTGTGACATTCAGACAGCACCAATGAGCTGGAATGTGGGTGTATGGCCACCACATAGATGGTGTAAAGCCAGCATCACTGGCTCCTATGCAGCTACCAAATAGGACGTGCGTTCAGGGGTGTGTCAGGAGCATTGTCTTTGGGATCATGGCCAGCGCGCATAAGATAGGACAGTACCTAGGCTACTCTACAATTATACTGCAATTGGGACTGGTTTGGTGCAAACCAACAGGATGAAGGAATCATAACCTGGCTGTGTCGTCTCCCTTCCAAACTCTCCTGTGTCAAGTAATTCCCAACAGTGGAGAAAATTAATCTTAATCTTTATTGGCTTTCCCCTCTCTCCTAAATGTGATTTTAATGTATTTTACCTTTTTGCTCGTCAGCTATTTCCTCTCTTTGGACTATCTCTGCTTCCCAGGCTTTTTATCACGCTGTCCTCTTAGCAAAAACTGAGAGGCTTAGAGCAAATATGAAGGGACAAGGCTCCACAGAGTAGCAAGAGACCAGGTAAACTTCCCTGCTGTACGTGGGGCACTGTTTCATTATAAAATAAAATAAAATAAAATAAAATAAAATAAAATAAAATAAAATGTCACCAATACTGTTAAAAGAATCAAAGAACTACTATAGTTGATGTTAGTGATTTTGCCTCCTGTAGGTTTGAGTGGATTGCTGTGAACATTGCAAAATGAGATCAGTCGACCAGTTTAATCAGCCGGTGTCGTTTAAATTGCTGCAAACTGCACCCCTCAGTTTCTCCCTTTCCTGTGGCTCAGCCTTGCCATATCAATATCCGTGTTGGTTGCATACAAACTTTGCCCTTGGACTACCTGAAATCCTTACACTTTTATTTATAGCAATGAAGAGGTTTCTGCTTCATTCAGCGGAGCCTAAATATCATGCGCTATAACTACTTCTACTTACTGGGAAACTGCTGATCATTTAATTAAGTTGTTTAAGGCAGCGTACGCTCTACTGCTGAGTATGTAATGGCTCTAAGTTTCTAGAGTCACTCCTGGTACCAAACTTATTAGTACTTTCTGATGCCTGTGGTGTATAAAAGACATGCAATGTAAAAGCAATCTCTAGTGTATGCACATGGAAGCATATAAAAAGAAATAAATAAATATTGAATGCTGGAGTGTCAGATCAATTATGGAAAAGCACCCCAAAGTCTGGGTGCTTATCCACACATCACTGGGACCAAAGCTCTTGAGTTTGTAGAGCTGGACTGGAAGTCTCATGAGACTAGACTCTCCTGGAAGATTTCCAGCACTGCCTGCTTCCAACTAAATTAGAAACACTTGGCAGTCCTGCTTCTAGCCCCAGATACAACCTGCCTGCAAAAAAGGGGAAACTGTAGCAAGTGTTTTTGATTCTCAAAACAAGGTTTGGTTTTGAGTTAATAACATGCAAAACACTCAGGCTAGGGGCCTAAAACCCTTATTTGCAAGGTATATTCCATTGAATACTACTTAATTCTCTGTTTTTTTAAAAAATGCTCTACCTTTTTGCAGACTAAGAGGAATGCAGGACTGTATCAGAAATTCTGCCCTTTCCCAGGAAACCTTACATGGGGTAGTTTATCTGATTTGTCCACAAAATAAACTAATGCAGAATAATTAAAATAAAATGCACAACACTGGGTATAGTCTTTGATATGGTTGTTGGTATTTCTCCTCCCTTGTGCCAATCATAAATAGGCCAATCATAAATTGTGCTGGGAATTGTACAAAATTAGTTTGCAATTCTGACAGCAACCAAAACATGCCATGTGAGGGAGGCCGGGTGATGCAGTGGATAGAGGAGTGACTGGGACTCAGGATATCCAGGTTCTGTTCCTAGCTCTGCTTGGTATCCTTGAGCAAGTCACGTCACCGTTCTGTGCCTCAGTTTCCCAATCTGTAAAATGATGATACTTACATCTTTTATAAAGCACTTTGAGATCTACTGATGAAAAATGTGATATCAGAGCTAAGTTTTATTATGTACCAAGACAGACCGCAAGCATCATATTGTTAAAACAAATTGCTGGAGAATGACTCTCATTTCTGCAGGGCTCAACGGCTCCATGATATTACCTTATGGCCAATGCCTCTGCATGTCTAGGAATTCCTATGGGAGGCCTATTGACCTATTTTCCCCCCTCCCCCCTTTTCAGAAAAATCACTGTTAATGCAATACACAAGGTCAGAATAGTTGCTGAGATATGAGTGGTAAAGTAGGTCACTACTTTAAGAAAACATAGCAATGGAAAACAGAGGGGTAAACAGTAAATCCCATCTATTACGCTAAGCTAGAGAAGTCAAAGGAAATGGAATCAGCTATTCCCTCTCCTTATGCGCATGCTTCCAAGCACATAAAAATAGTGCTTTCGTGAGACTGCCTTTCTGGCATTGTTCCTCCTCACATATCTGTTTCTCTCAGGTAGAGTCTCTGTCTTTTATGCTGAAATGGGGAAGAAGGGGGGAAAAAACCTTGCAACCCAAAGCATCTGCATCACAAACATATATAATTTTGGCAACTTCGGTTTCATGCTGAGCCACTCATAGGAAACCAGTATTTTATGGAGGTGACATCCCTTCTGTGAGAGGCTTCAAGGCGACAGAGAGACAGAGTTTTTCTGACAGATGAAACCCCACATGGATAGCATCAGTTTCTGACATATTTTTGTCAAAAGGTAAGCCATTAATGTTGCACGATCATGGATTTATAGGCCACATTAAACCAGGGGTGTTGGAACAATTTTCATAGTGTGGGAGCTGAGAGCCATTGAACCAAACTATAAACCCTGTATATAATGGAAACTACTTCAAGCCAGGGGGTGCAGCAGCGCCCCCAGCACCCTTAGTTCCAGCACCTCTGCATTAAACAATGACAAGACATTCAAAACTAGAGTTTAAATTTCTCTGCTGAAGGAAGGGGAAAACGCTAATGGGCGTTGTAGGAGGAAGGTGAAAGTTTAATGTGCCCCAGAGTGACAGAGGGAGAAGGAGTATTAATATGCTCTTGCAGACATACCTGTGCTAGCTGTATGCTAGCTAGCTTGCTAAAAATAGAAGTGAGAATGTTGCCGTACAGGCTACAGCACAGTATGTACTTGCTTGTACAACCTGGGCTGAAGCCCAGGTCACCACGGCCTCGCTTCTATTTTTAGCAAGCTCGCTAGAGTCCAGCTAGTGCAGGTACGTGTATTCGAGCTGCCATTCACAGCCCCAGCTGCAAAGTAGACATATTCTTAGTGATGGGTGAACCTCAAGTGGCTTAGAGTTCTAGTCTGGTACAGATAAGCACCTAAGATGCTTATGCAAACAACTTGGATTGGCAAAACTGCAAGAACAAACCTGTGTGCAATGCTACATTCTTTCTTTATTTTATCTGTGCAGGGTTCATTTGGCAAATAAATACCAACTGTATTGCAGCTAACACTGATGGTCCATATTGAGATGGGACCCCAGGAGGAAACCTCAGGTCTGGGTTGGACTTTGGATTTCGACTCAGCCCATCCCTGGTTTGTCTCATTAGAAAGATAGGTCCTACCTGTAAAATTAGGTACAAGCGTAAGGAGTGAATATCTGGCCCCACTGAAGTCAACGCCAAAACTCTCATGGCCTTCTCTGGAGCCACAGTTTCACCCAATGATCCAGATTTCCAGGTGAGTGGGGGCTGGTAGGAATCTGAGATTTTGCTTTTAAATACACAGCCATGTCCATCCCATTGGCGATCAACTGCAGCTGGGATCTGTGAAGCCTGCACTGCTCAGTTTCTGCAGAGGTTGATTTTGCACCATTCCTTCTAGATGAATTCTGCTGGACTGTAAATCAGAAGTCACTCTCACATCTAATCTTAATCTAAATCATGGTAAATTACTTCTAATTTTATCTTGCATTTGTTGTGTTCAGCAGTCATTTTAGTGACTGATATTAGCATAAAAGGAAAATAACTCAATGCCTGCCAACACGGCATTGTCAGAACATGCAGCTTTAGGCTCTGAATCCAGAGGGCTATTGCATTTAGGTCAGTAGCAGCAAATTTATTCTCTGTCATATAAATTAAGGGCTGCTTTATCCCAAAATATTGCATCTTTGTAGCGCAGCCCAGAGCCACATTATGTAATAAGTTTGAGTTCAGAAATAGCATGCCAGAAATTAGATGACTTCAACAAAGCGGGGGAGAGGGAAGCCTCCCCTATGAAGTTGTCATTCACATAAACTGGTTACCCTGCCCTGGGCTTCGCTATTTTCAAGTCTTCCTGCTAATTAGAGTAGGGGAGAAAACGTCACACAGTTCAGAGAACTGACTGCAGTTCTGATCAGTTGTGGACTTCGTTGTAAAATTTTACTCTTCCACATCACCACCGATGACCAGAAGATTTAAACGAGCTTCACAAAAACACTAAGTCTCACAGCATCTCTAAGAGACACTTTAGCATTACAGGTCTGTCGCATCGTACGCGCATTTAACATGCGCGATTTC